TATATGCGGCGAGCCAGGAGCTTGAATATGAAAGATGTTTCACTCTGCTTCTTGTACTTGAGGAAGTCTGCCTTGACCTCCTCTTCGTCCTCATCGTCAATGCGTGCCAGGCTTGCTGCCTCCTTTTCCGGTGAACTCTTGTGCGAGCCCACGAAGCACTCCCCCAATCTCGACATCCTCGCCATGTAACAGCTGCGGCTCTCTGGCTCAAGATCCATTGGCGTCACGTAATGCACCTTCATCTCCGAGTGGCTGAGCACGCCCAAGTGGTTGCCCGCTGCACTGCCTCCGCAGGACGTGCAAGGTGGAGGGAGGGTGGCCATGCAGCTGCCGCATGGCTGGAGCGGCCCCCTTGCGGATCACCTTGTCTGTGAAAATTACATGAGCAACCAAAAAGAATCGAGAATGCTGAAGGCTCACAAGATCCACTTCTCTCGACAAGTTCGACAGGAAGCTCCGAGTTGCTCAACCACAGCTGCGCGTCTAACACGGCAATGTAGACGTTATCCTCGTGCGTAAGATAACGTAATAAGAGAAGCAAGCCTTCCCCCGTCACTCAGATCTACCAGGAGCTGCTCCAGATCCCTTGCACTTACAGTGGTTTTTGTCAGCAGTTTCAACTCCGATGGCTTGCAGCGCGGGATGTCATTAAGCAAGAAATCCAGCTTTGAGGACCACCACCCCTCCACGGCCTTTGGATGTTGAACTTTGTACCGTGCATATGGGTTCGGCTCTATAGCAGCAAGTTAAACTCTACAGCAAGAAAAAACACAGTGCGTACCTTGGGGTACTCCTCCAGGTTGAAACTAGGTACGTATTTCTCCACGTACCACACTTCGATTGTCTTGAACAGAGCTCCACCCTCCACACACCGCAAGCAACTGTACCTGAAGGAGGAGATGACCCTCCGCAACTCGAGCGTGGCATCCACGGCTTCTCTCAAGCCCGGTGGCACATCGGCATCCCCAAGCTTGAAGATCAAATTGGCCAGACCCACGTTGAGACTTGAATCTCGGCCATCGAATGGCTGTCGCTGGGGAGCAAACAGAATTTGGCAAATATAGCTTACATTGTGATTTCAGCTTGAAAATCCAGATTTGGTATGATGCCGGCATTTGGATCGGTAAGGCAACTCTCAGTCTACTCTTTGTCTCGTGAGCGCTGCTGGCATTCCCGGAGGCTGGGAGTCGAATTTTATTCTCTTGTGGGATTGTAGCAGGGGTTTGTGAACAGTGGTTTCGTTTCTTCCCTGGAGAGAAGGGAAGAAGGGGTCGTGGAAGACTCTTTGCATCTGAGGAGGGGGGGGCTAGCAGCACGACGAGGATGAACGCCGAGATGGAAGGTAAGCTTCGACACTCGCAGTGCCCCTTTGGTGGACTTGGAGAGCGTTTTTACGTGAGTGATCCTTTCCGCGAGAGCGATCGATTGTCCGGGGCGAAGTTTCAGGCCCTATGTCTCATGTTTCTTCCCTGGCAGGAGGTGACAAGAAAGCTATAAACCAGGCATTGTGGCTTGAATGCCCGGGACCTCTCATCACTTTGCCAGCGATTGGTAGCCAAGTTGTCTACTTCCCACAAGGTTACACCGAACAAGTCAACATACGTAGGAACTCTCAGAAAACGAAAAAAACCTTTTTTTTTCTCGTACCAGGTGGTAGCTTCCACGCAGAAGGAGGCTGATTTCGATATCCCAATCTCCCACCTCCATGTAAGGCAGACAACGAGAACGCAAACTTCAGAAAAAACTGACTTGTGTGTAGGCCGATCAAGAAAACGACGAGGTATTCGCGCAGATGACGCTGCAGCCCTTCTCACAGACTGCGGTAATCGCTTCCGATGAAACTCTTGGTTTTCTTCTTGCAGGACCCGTTTCTTTTGCCGGACTTTGGAATCCAAACGAAGCAAACCATTGTTTCTTTCTCCAGGACACTAACAGTGAGTGATACGAGCACTCATGGTGGTTTTGCCATTCCTTGCAGAGCAGCGGAGAAAGTTCCCCCCCCCCGCCCCCTCTTGTAAGAAAAGTTTCTTTTGTTTTTCTTCGTTTCATCTGATGAACGAGATTTCTCGTGTCCAGGATTTTACCCAGACACCTCCAGCTCAAGAGCTCGTTGCCAGAGACTTACACAACATCGAGTGGCGTTTCCGCCATATCTATCGAGGTATGTGCCCGTCACACAGCAAAATGCAAAGTTCCAGCTTTTACCCGCAGGCTACAAAATGGAAAGAGTATTTTTCACCTCAAGAACAGCACAGTGTCGCCAGCTTGAAGCCGCTTAAAACTGACAAAGACGCTCCATTCGGTCGTTAGCAAGTGCCCTCCAGGCTGGAGCTTGAGATTTTCTTGCAGGACGAGCATGGACAACACATGCTGGGAATTCGACGTGCAAACCGGCAGCAAACGAATTTCCGAGCGACAGCACGCTCGTCGGTGTTCTTGCCGCCGCTGCTCTCGCAGCGTCGACTAACAGCCGCTTCGAGGTGCTCCTAGAGGAGGAATACTAGGAATACTGGTGCTATCTCGCAGAGGCAGATGAAAGAGAAGAAGAAGGCAAGTTTAAATATGAACTTTCCTGGGCTCGGGATGCCGAGGCAATTCAATCAGTCGATGCCACCGCTACTCCAGCAGCAGCAACAACAGGTCCAGCAGATTATCGACTTGCTTCCAAACGTCCCGGAAGCAGCGAGCATCCTCTCAAGACCCCTCCGGATCAGGGGTGAATCGAAGCAGCACGCCGCTTCTAAACCGCCTCATCGTCTGGGTGATCGTGATGTTGTGATGTTGTTTTGTGTCGTGATCGTTTTTTATGCTTCCTGTCAGGGCCGGATCATGTGAAAAACCATGAAACTCTTCACCTCCTCGAAGATCGAACGCCAGTTTTCCTGTCCGGAAATCCCATCGATGGAATAATAAGATACGACTTACTTCCCTTTCCTCGGCATCGATCGATTCACACGCTGGCGCCATCCATTTTTTTGTAGTTCCCCCAAAATGTTCCTGGTTTCTCGTGCAAGCGCATCGATCCAAAAAAAAAAGCCATGGATCAGATCGAGCCCTGCCCGATCAAACGCCGCGTCCTCAGTCAATCCCTCAAATCTCGAAAGATTTGCAATATCCGTTCTCATGAATGTGAGGAGCAGCCGACAGTCCAAGTAGAGTATTTCCAAGTAGCGATGATTTTTATTTTAGTTGGATCGAGAGAAGCACGGGGGGACAAGGAGCCGACAGCACCCCCTGCCTGCCTGTCCCCCTTGTCCCCCCGCTGACATCGTTTGCCCCCAAATCCACTCCGCCAAACCAAAACCCCCTGCCCGTTAGTTAAGCCAATCCATGCCCACGTCACCGGCCCCGTCACTGCCACGTCAGGCAATATGCCACGTGCCCATATCCAAATGGCCGGCAGCATTTATTTGTTTTCTCCCTCTTTTTTGCTCCTGTGTGGCGGCTGCTGTTGTGTAGGGTAACACTGCGCTGGTCTGCTGCTAACTGGGCTTTTGTTTGCTCCTTTTTGCTTGCGCGCTGCCTTGTTTGGATTTGGGAGATCGCTGTGTGGTGTTTGTGCCGGCATTTGGATCGGCAAGGCAACTATTGGGAGTTCTCACTCACTCTCTCATTCGTCCTAGTGTTTGTGGGTTCTTTGTTTTACTCTTTGTCTCGCAAGTGCTGCTGGTGGGTTTGCTGTTCTCGCTGTCTGTGGCATTCCCGGAGGCTGGGAGTGGAATTTTTTTCTCTTGTGGGGTTGTAGCAGGGGTTTGTGAACAGTGGTTTCGTTTCTTCCCTGGAGAGGAGTGAAGGAAGAACGGGGGCTTTTGCGTGTGACAATGGCGTCGGTGGAAGACTCTTTGCATCTGAGGAGGGGCGGCTAGCACTAGGACGAGGATGAACACCGAGATGGAAGGTAAGCTTCCCTCTTTTCTCTTTGCTTGTTTCGAATGCCCTTGGACTTGGAGAGCGTTTTTTCGTGAGTGATCCGAGAGATGGATAGAAGTTTAGGCGACATGGTTTCCACGAGAGTGATCGAAGCTCGATCAAAGTCAACTTTGTTGTCTTGTCCGGAGCGAAGTTTCAGGCCCTATGTCTCATGTTTCTTCTCTGACAGGAGGTGACAAGAAGGCTATAAACCAGGCATTGTGGCTTGAATGCGCGGGACCTCTCATCACTTTACCAGCGATTGGTAGCCAAGTTGTCTACTTCCCACAAGGTCACAGCGAACAAGTGAGTATCAATCAACATACGTAGGAACTCTCAAAAGACAAAAAAAAACCTTTTTCTTTTCTCGTACCAGGTGATAGCTTCCACGCACAAGGAGGCTGATTTCGAAGTTCCCAGCTATCCGAATCTCCCACCTCAGCTCTTTTGTATTCTTCACAACATCACTCTCCATGTAAGGCAGACAACGAGAATTCAGACTTGAGAAAAACACTGACTTGTGAGACTTTTCCGTGTAGGCCGATCAAGAAAACGACGAGGTTTTCGCGCAGATGACGCTGCAGCCCTTCTCACAGACTGCGGTAATCGCACCCAGTTCTTCCGATAATTGCGTGAAAACTCTTGGTTTTCGTCTTGCAGCTGCTGAAGGACCCGTTTCTTTTGCCGGACTTTGGAATCCAGACGAAGCAAACCATCGTTTCTTTCTCCAAGACGTTAACAGCGAGTGATACGAGCACTCACGGTGGTTTTTCCATTCCCCGCAGAGCAGCGGAGAAAGTTTTCCCCCCTCTTGTAAGAAGTTTTAAGCTTCTCGTATCATCTGATCAATGGGATTCTTCCTGTCCAGGATTTTACCAAGACACCTCCAGCTCAAGAGCTCGTTGCCAGAGACTTACACAACAACGAGTGGCATTTCCGCCATATCTATCGAGGTATGTGCCTATCACACACGTAGAATTGCAAAGTTCCAACTTTTACGCGCAGGCCAGCCTCGAAGGCACTTGCTCACGACCGGGTGGAGCGTTTTCGTCAGCGCTAAGCGGCTTCAAGCTGGCGACACGGTGCTGTTCTTGAGGTAGAAAAAACTCGTTCCATTTTATAGAGCTTGAGATTTTCTTGCAGGGACGAGCAGGGACAACACATGCTGGGAATTCGACGGGCAAACCGGCAGCAAACGAATCTCCCGACATCTCTCTTGTCGAGCGACAGCATGCTCATCGGTGTTCTTGCCGCGGCTGCTCACGCAGCATCCACCAACAGCCGCTTCACGATCTTCTATAATCCGAGGTAGCTTTATTCTCTTCCTGTTTTGGAGCTGGCTGAGGCGTTCTTCGCAGGGCGAGCCCCTCGGAGTTTGTCATTCCACTGGCGAAGTATCAGAAAGCACTGCATCCTCCGCAACTGACTGTAGGAATGCGATTTAGAATGGAGATGGAAACCGAGGACTCAAGCACAAGGAGGTAGCAACAGTAGATAAACAGAAGTATAGATCTATTTACCCGTTTGATCCATAGGTACATGGGAACAATCACTGGTATAGGAGATTTGGATCCCGTAAGATGGCCAAACTCCCACTGGAGATCTCTCAAGGTGAGAGCTTTACCGAAGCAAGATGAGTCTTCTCACTTTTCTTTGTCCTCTCAGGTCGGCTGGGACGAATCTACCGCTGGACAGAAGCAACGCAGAGTGTCAGCATGGGAGATTGAGCCACTGACAGTACCTTTTCTTCTCTGCAACTCTTCGTTTTTGTTGAGGTCCAAGCGTCCGAGAGGTACTGGTAAGTGAGAGCTTTCTCCGGTGTGCTTAACACTCTCTCTCTCTCGCAGAGGAGGAGCTCCAGATGAAGGCTCCCTCGATCTGGGCCAGAGGAGAAGAAGGCAAGTTTAGCATGCAAAATATGAACTTTCCTGGGCTCAGTGGGATGGATCACTGGCTCCAACTCCAGCAAAAAGCCGGGGGCTCCGCGGCAGTAACTCCACCGCCTCCTGTCATCCAACCTGGTTACTACAGCTCCATCCTCCAAGAAATGAGGACCATTGATGCTACTCCAAAGCAGCTCATGCAAAGTCCGCAAGCCTTCCAGCCGATGCAATTCAACCAGTCGATACCACCGCTACTCCAGCAGCAGCAGCAACAGGCCCAGCAGATGATGCACCTGCCTCCAAACGTCCCGGAAGCAGCCAGCATGCATGCTCCATACATCCCAGCTGCTCTCAAGACCCCTCCGGATCAAGAGGTGAATCGAAACAGCAACTCATACCCGCCCCTCATCATCGAGGACGGCGTCTCGTATACTTCGATGCTCCAGGGCTCGGCTCCAGCATCACTCCCAAAGCAGCAACACCATCAGCAGCAAGCAGGGATGTTGACTTGCTCGAGTTTGGATCACCAGACCAACTGGATGCCATCCCTGCGAGAAGGTGACGCGAGCATTCCGGTGGATGCATCGCTTCTACCGCCGTCGTCATCGCAGCAAGCTCTGGATCAAGACAACGATCCCAGAAGTCACGTCCTCTTTGGCGTCAACATAGATGGCCAAGTCCCGCCATCTTACGCTCCCCCGCCTTTCTCCAAGCCAAAGGATTTCTCCGGAGCTCAACCCGACATAGCTCTCCTCCATGCCGCCGAAGAGAATGGAGTCCCCCAACCAAGCTGGCCGCAACAAGTCTATCCCCCGCCAGTGAGAACTTTCACCAAGGTTTGCCTCCTTCCACTTGAAACTCTTCGATGGGACGATCGATCGAGTAACACTTGCTTGCAGGTCCACAAGGTCGGATCGGTCGGGAGATCGCTCGACATCACCCGCTTCAAAAACTACCACGAGCTTCGCAACGAGCTCACGCGAATGTTCGGCCTGGAGCACGATCACAAGTCGGGCTGGCAGCTCGTCTTCATCGACAACGAGAATGACATGCTGCTACTGGGCGATGATCCTTGGGAGTAAGTTCTTCCTTCCTTTCACTCTTGAGGCGTTGCTAACGTTGACATCGCTGCAGTGAATTCATCGGCTGCGTCAAGTCGATACGAATCCTCTCCTCGTCCGAGATCCTCCAGATGAACCAAGAACATATGGAGTGGCTAAACTCCATTCCACTCCACCAGCAGCAAAAGCAAGCTAGCAGCTCCTCGGATGATCACCGGCCCTGCGGCGACGTCCCTGCGATCACTACTGCTACCCCCACTGCTGCTACCACTACTACTGCTACTACTGCTACCACCACTGCTCAAGCAGGCAACGTACCCCGAGCGATGAGCAGCTACAACAGTGACCCGTCGTGCGTAAGCGATGGGATCTAACGTAACCAAGGGAAGAACTTGTCTCGATTTCTAGCAAGTAGGAAGCTTACAGCGAAGTCGCGCTTTTTATTCGCGCGTCTCCCTACCTATGTAGAAATTTTTACGCTGGACAGAATCAACAAAAACCGATACTTAGACGCGCTTAGGAACCACGTACCTCGCTACGTGATTGCGTTTGTTAATCTGACGCGTGTATGTTGTATGTCCTCCTTCCACCTACGTATGTACACCCCCGACTGATGATCGAGGCAAATCAGCTTGAGCGGAGTGACCCGTTCACGAAGCCATCAGGAAGTGTAGAGGCAGCGGAGGAGGAGGCGGCGGCGGCGGACTTCGGAGTAAGTAGATCCGTCCTTGCAGCGAGAAACACCGCCAGGTACTCGGGATCACGTTGGAGAGCCTCTACAAATTCGTCACGGCTCACCCGCTCCATTCCTTTGCTCAGCTTCTTCCACACCTCCTGTATTTGCCTCCCACTGATGCTCGGAATCAAGTCCTTAAGGCTGCTGAAAACGTCCTCAAAGCTCAAGATGCCATCGTTGTCCTGGTCGCAGAGCCCGTACGCCGCGTCGATTGTCTCACGGAGCTTTTCAAACCTTGATATGAATGCCAGCCCGTTGACATACTGCCGGAAGTTGAAGTAGCCCCTCCCTAAGCCGTCAAACAGCGAGAACACTTGCTGGACCGGCTGGCAATCGGGCAGCGCCAGCACCTTGACAAATGTCTCGTAAGTCACCCTGTTGGTCGCGGCCGGATCCAAGAGCTTGAACTTGGCGTAGTAAGCCTTGGCCTCCTTCATCGTCAGCCTGTAGAGCCTCTCAAACCTGCCAAACTCGATCACCGGAATGGTGGAGTAGTCTTTGGCCTTCTGTGCGTCCGACACCAGGCTCAGGTCCTCATAACTGTGCTCCGACACCATCACGTTGAGAATGCTGGCCATTGTCATCCGGGTTCTCTCCGTGAAGAGCCTCGGGTTGCACTGCTCCTTCCAGCTCGGCTCGATCACCGGGAGGTACTCCACCACCATGTAGTTGTGGAACTGGATCATAAGCTTGAAGATGAGGAAGTATATAGACGGGCCCTGTGCTACCCACGATGGATCCATGTGAACTTGAGGATAGCGTACCACCATCGGTTGGACCGGGTAGCCGGGCGTAAACGCTCCAGTCTTGAAAGAAACCAGCGACTTACCATTAGTGGTGGTCGCCTCTGGGAAGATCATCACGGTGCTCCAGTCGTTACACATAGCTCGCCGCTTGATCTCCCCGGCCGCGTTCCTGCGCGAGTCTGGCGAGCCCCGGTTGATGGCGATGACTTGCATGGCACTGATGATCGCGCCCATGACCGGGTACTTGAGATTCTCCTCCGCCGTCACGATCACGGGCAAATGCTTGTAGAAGATGAAAACGGGGTCCACGAACGTGACGTGGTTGGAGACCAGAATCGGAGCTCTCTCGCGAGGAGCCGGCTTGCCTTTGATGGTGATCCAGTGGAATCCACACACGAAGAGAAGCACCCTCGCGAGAATCCTCACTGGCCACAGCAGAGACCTCCTCCATGCAGGAAAGGGCCTGGTGAGCACGTCCCTGGCGCCGATGAGCGCGATCTTGGTGAGGACAAGACCCAGCAGGAGAATCACTGTGAATGCGATCATCCGCAAGATCGCGACCGGGAGCATGACGATCGCCTTGAAGAGCTCGTAGGGATTGGAAATACCCGGCACTGCGTTGAGGAAGGGATTGAAGGGCATGTCGGGCTCCACAACCGGCGGACTCCCGAGCGACGATAGCACTGGCGCTGCTTCTGTCACCGCATGCCCCGAATCGAAGGCATTTTGATCGGGAGAGGGCTTCTTCACAGACCTCTCTTGGATCGCTGTAGCTGGCGATTCCTCCGCCGACGGCGATTTCATCACCCGACGCTTTGATAATCCGCCGATGCCAGCGTGGTGGACGCTAAGCGGCGCTCCCCCGACGTTCTCCAGGCGCAGCGCCATAGCCACAAGCTCCAGTGCGCGCAATGGAGAATATCCAGGAGCCCTAGAAAAAAAGGCCCTAAATTAGATTAAAACCAGCGCAATCGGTTCTTCCGCGTGGCGCAAGCGGCACCGTTGGATCCGCCCGCAGCACACTTTAAAAGACCATGTGTATGAACATTGATGAATCTTTCGGTGGAGCAGCCTCTGTAGCGGCATTTAATTTGTCAACTCGCGCTATAATTCTTGGATTGGATCCAAAAACGTTTCAAAACCGCGTGTGAATTTTGTTTCCCTTTCTCCATTCACTGTCTAACCAGGCCAGAGTTTTCGTTTTCGCGGTCGAGTGATTGATTGATCTGTTCGTGTATCACGTCACGGGCATTTGGTGTCCTCTAGACAAGAGCTAAAATTGGGGGTGCCGTGTTCCATGAGAAGATACGCCAACGCCCAAACCCCAAAGAGTGGAGCCCAAAGCGTGGAGCCGGAGTAAATGGACACGAAAGATTCCGATTCCTTTGTCGTTCATCCTTTGATCGCCCGGGATCCATGCTCGAATCCACAGGAAACGCATGAATTTGATATCAGGGGGGAATTTCTTCGCATTTCCAAATCGCCCAGATCGATTGGAACTACACGGAAGGAGCCCAATCTTGTTGTTGTCAGGCTTTGCGAAAGCTGGGGATCCCATCCAGGCAAAAAAGGTGTTTGATTCTCTCTCCCACAAGAGCACACTGGCCTGGACCATCTTGATGACTGCTTATGCCCAATGTGGGCATATAGACAATGCCATTGAGACGTTCTATTCCATGCCTGAACATGATCTAGTTTCTTGGTCTGCTCTTATCAATGTCTATTCTACCTTTAGCGTGATCTGCGCGGCAAAACTGACGTTTGAATCAATGCCAGAGTGGAACCTGGTAGCTTGGAGTTCTCTTCTTGCAGCATATGCCCAGAACGGGGATTTAAGAAAGGCAAAGAATGTGTTTGATTTCATGCAATCGCGAAACATCGTCTGTTACTCGACACTGCTCACAATGTACACACGATTTTGTAGTTTAGATCATGCAAAACTATTTTTTGATCAAATGCCAGAGTGGAATCTAGTGTCGTGGAATGTGCTTCTTTCAGCTTATGCAAAGAGTGGAGATCTTGAAAGCGTTCAAGAGGTGTTCTTGATAATGGAGGCTTGGAATCTCGTCTCCGGCGCAACTATGATAACTGGATACACAAAATGTGGCCATATTGGAAAGGCTCAAGCCATTTTTAAAAGCCTGCCACTGTGGAATGCCGTCGCATGCACGGCGATGCTGACTGGATATGCCCAAACGGGGCATGTCTTGCTTGCTAAGCAGGTCTTTGACACGATGCCCGTGAGAGGCATTGTGACGTGGAATGCCATGCTGGCGTGTTATGCCCGAAACGGGTACACGGAAGATGCAAAGGCGATATTTCATGGGATGAAAGAGCACGACATTGTTTCGCTGACGACGATGCTAAGCTGCTCACCCTGTTTGGCCGATGCTGAGAGTCTTTTCAATCGATTTCCGGAGAGAAATCTTTGCAGTGAGAATGTGATGCTGGATGCATATGTGTCTGGAGGAAAGATCGAGCAAGCGAAGAGATTTTTTGATGGAATGAAATACCATGATTTCCAATCGCTGGTTGTCATGGTTCTGGGATTTTCCCACGCCGGGAGGCTGGAAGAAGCAAAGTATGTTTTTGAAGAGGCCCGCGAGTTTAATCCTGTGCTGTGGACTTGCATGGGTTCCGCATATGCTCAATCTGGGCATTTTGAGGAAGCCAGGCAAATTTTTGGCAATGCTTCGGATGTAGTCTTTTTAGACGACAATGCAAATGAAAAGATTGCTTGGCATTTACATGATCACAATGATCTTGTTTTCTGCAATGCTCATCTTTCAGTTTGTCTCCAAGACGGAGATTTTGTGGAGGGAGTCCAGAAGTTCCATCGCATGAAACAAAGAGACCAAGTTACCTGGAACTCGGTTGTATCAGCTTATATCCGGAGGGGTCAAGTGATCACGGCAGCTCGTTTGTTTGATCGCCTTCCAGTGAGAGATGTTACAAGCTGGAACTTGGTTCTAGCCGGCTTGTGTTGGAAGATCGACTCTGAGGTTCGAAATGAAGTGTTTCACAAGATGATCCTGATGGAAATGCCGGACGAGGTCACGCTTCTCTGCAAGCTAAACTTGTGTAGCCATGAAGGAAACTTAGCCAATTTCTCGAGATGGTTTGCTTCACTGAGAAGTGACTTTGGGCTGGAACCAACCAAGCAGCACTACTCAACAGCGATTGATATCCTTTCTAGAGCGGGGGATTTAAGAGAAGCTTGGGATCTTTTAAACACAATGCCGTTCTATCCAGATACGATGGAGTGGACAAAGATCACAAAACACAAACACTGATCTTGTCAAGTTCAATCGAAGTTCTTATACATAGTTTGCTCATCACTTCGAGTTTTTCAAGGAGCTTTGAAGCTCCGCTGGTTGTTTGTTTACAACACAGAATGACTGGAAGCTTGGGGGATTTAAACAACACAACCATGTCGTCCACAAACTTTGATCCAAAAACTTGGTCATCTCATCCAAGCATCTTGAAACGGATCTAAACAAAAATGAATGCAAAGAACAGACTAGAAACGAAATCGAAAGAACCAACCTCAAGATCACTTGTTAGTTGCGAGTAGCTCCGTTTCTTCTTCCAATTCCTTCGATCAGTTTCACTCCATGACGGCGGTCCCTCCCACAGCCTTCAACTTGTTAATGATCTTCTCGGCCTCCTCTTTCGTGACGCTCTTCTTCACCATCGCCGGGAGCTTCTCCACGAGCTCCTTGGCCTCCTTGAGCCCCAGCTCCGTCACCGATCTCACCTCCTTGATCACCTTGATCTTGTCCGCGGCCTCATACTTCTCCAGCTTGATATCAAACACCATCTTCTCCACTGGCTTCTCGGGTGCCGCGGCGGCGGCGGACGCATCGGCAGCGGCGCCGCCACTTCCAGCTCCGCCAGGAGCCATCATCCCCGCCGGCATCACCATCCCCGCGGGCATCATCATCGGCACCGAGATGTTGGCGTGATCAAGCCCGAGGCGCTTCTTGAGCTGCTCCGTGAGATCCGCGAAGTCGACCACCGAGAGCTCCACGAGCTCGTTGACGAGCTTCATCACTCTCTCGGATGGAACGCGCTCTTGGGCTGCGGCGGCAGCTGCTTCCGGCTTCTCGGATTTGCCCGCCGCCGCCGCTGCTGCTGCTGCTTCTGGCTTCTCGGATTTGGCCTTGTCACTCGCTGGCGATGCTTTGTCTGGTTTTCCCGCCTTCTTCGCCGCTGCCTCTGCCGCATTTACCTGGGAGGATGTGTGGAATGCCAAGGACCAACCTGTGAGAAGCGCGCTCCTCCATTGCTCGTCGGTCCGGAGAGCCAAGTGCCGAGCACCACGAAGAACGCTCATTCCTCCCTAGGGTTTTAGGGAAGAGCCCAAAAACCCTAATAGTAAAGCCCAAAACCCTAATGGCAAATGGTCATAAGGTTGCTAAAAACTCGATTATTCGCTGGCCATGGTTATTTTCTAGAGGACAGTGTTTGTGTTTGTGGCAGTAGCGTCAATGATATATGATCCAATCGGATCAATTGGGTATGAGAAGACGATGATCAGTCGCGCTCGATCTGGATGGTAACATGCGTGATCTTAAAATCGCGCTCGCAGTATTCGATCACGTTGCGCAGCACCTCGTCCGCGTCCGCATCGCGCTCGATCTTGACATGGCACGCCAGCAGAACTTTGCCGAGCGTGATCGCCCAGATGTGGAGCTCATGCACCGCCTGGACGCTGCCAATCCGCCGCAGCCCCTCCTCCAGCCTCGTCGCGTCGATCTCCCGCGGCGTGCTCTCCATGAGCACGTCCGAGATCTCCGTCCACATGTTGACGGTGGTGAGCAGCACCAGTACCGAGAAGAGCAGCGTGCACACCAGATCCACCACCTTCCACTCGGGCTTGTACCAGATGATCGCCCCCGCGATCATCACTCCGATGCTCTGGATCAGATCGCCCAAGACGTGCAAGTAAGCGCCCCTCACGTTGATGCTGCTGGTCTTGCTGTTCTTGCTCGTACCGTGGTCACGGAGCTCGTCCAGATCTTTGTCGAGCTTGATACGGTTGGGGCCGTGATCCGAGTCGACACGTATCAGAAAAGAATCACTTTTTCTCCCATGGTGATCGTGCTGTTCCTGTCCCTGGTGGCCGTGCTCTTGGTGGCCGTGATCTTGTTCCTGGTGGTCGTGATCTCGGCCGTGTTCTTCGTGATCGTGCTGCTGGTGGTCGTGATCGCTGTCAGCGTGATTAGGATCTTTGTCCTTGTCACCGACAGTAGTGCATCCTCCACTGTGAGTGTGAGAGTGGGATTGGCGGGAGTGTCCTCCTCCACTGTGGCTGTGGCCGTGGCCGTGGCTATGGCTGTGACCGTGGCTATGGCCGTGTCCACCATGATCTCCCAGGATCAGCATCATTCCAATGTTGACGAGCAAGCCAAGCGTTGCGATGATGAACATGAGCCCCCCATTCACTGGCTGGCTGTCGTGGAAGAAGCGCGAGACCGCCTCGTAGACGAGGATCCCAGTGATGAGCCAGATGATGTGAATTGAAACCAGCGCCCCCAGGATCTCCACCCGGTGGAAGCCATAGGATTGCTTGGGGGTCGCGTCCCAGCCCGAGGCGTAGATCGCGAAGAGCGAGATCGCGAACGAGGCCACATCCGAGAGGAGATGAGCCGCGTCCGTGAGGATCGCCAAGCTCCCGGCTATAATCCCTCCCCCTACCTCCAGAATCATGAAGACGATACAGAGCCCAATCGCGATCACCAGCTTCCTCGTCGTCGCGCGCCGCTTGGCCAGGTCCTCCGGGTCCGATAGGCCGCAGCCATCGCCGCAAGAGACCATGCCGCGCTGCCTGATCATCGGTCCATCCCAATCGACCAACGGCAATCACACTAAATCAGCTGGAATTCCCAATGCGATCGATCAGGTCGGCTCACCGTGAAATGGAATCCACCTCCTCCGCCGCGCGTCCGTGGTTGCTCCTCAGCAATGGCTCCTCCATGATGCTCTGCTTAGCCCTAAATTTCGCCCTATCTTTAAGGCCCGTTTCTTCACTGGATTGCTTTTTAGGGCTCTAGCGGAGCATGCGCCAGGGACGCAGGAGTCTCAGGTTTAGCAAGATTTTGGGGCTGGCATTCCTTCTCCTAGTAGTCGGATTGCTCGCGCTCCGCCGGTGGCAGCCTCACGAGTTACACATGGGTGAGTGTTTAGATTAGATTCGGTGGAAAATGTATGATCTCTAAATTCTTCCTGTCAGCATCCTATAATTCGCAGCGCTCGACAATCTATCAGAAAATGGCTGACGAAGGTCGGGCATTCCTTGCCGGTGGAGAAACCACGCAATCTCTCAAGGTAAGTTTTGAGTCTTTCGTTTCAAAAGGGAACTCCTTGGAACATTTTTCTGTTCTCCAGATCAGTGATATCTTCTCTTTCGACAATGGAAAGATTCATCCCATCCACAAGGTACCTACATTTTTCCTTCTTCAGTTCATTCCATGCCATTCTAAACACTTGTTGCAATTCAAGCTCGCAGAGCCACCTGTTCGAGCCGCGGTGCTCTACTTGCCGCAGAAATTCTCGCGAGTGATATCGTTCGTGTGACGAGTTCTAGTTGCGGGCTCTGAAGTTGATACGTTTCTTTGTTTGTAGGGAGATCATCACAGAGACACTCGGCTCGCATTCTTCAGGCAAGTCACGTTCATCGTTTACTATGCCGTGATTGATGTTTCATTGATGCAGCTATCTGGTACCAGAATCCCGAGATGTATCACTTTAGCCTTTACCACGCCTCGCATCATCTGGAGCCGGTGCCGGCATCCAAGTCCGAGGTAAGCATTTCGAGATGTGTGCTTTACGTGTTGGTGTTTTTTTATTGTTTAGATCGCAAGGGAGCTGGAAGCTGTGGACCAAGTTGCAAGATCGTGCTCTCCTTTACGTATTCAACTGGAGCGTGTTGTATTGACTTGTACAGGAGCTCTGATCGGCTGCTGGCAGGTTTGACGTCCATGATTGGAAAAGTCGTTAAATCTTACTTTAGTTTCCAGGTTTTGGAAGGGACAGATCCACTCGTTATACGGGAACGTTTGAAGAACAAGCTCCCAAATGCACCAAAGAAACAACTGGTAAGAGTTGTAGCCCTTCATCCATTCTATGGTCTCTCTTTTAAGCTCGGTTTTGCAGTATGACCAGCTCATACTCCATTCTTCCTTCGCGAGAATTTTACCACCGACAGCAAACGAAACTGTGGAGGTTTGTTAGATCGATCGATCGATCAATCGCTCGAGTTTTCTAAGCTATTATCCATGCAGAAAAAAGATAATCGGATGACCACCGAGCTGCTGGAGCAACTAGTCATGGATCTGAACAAAGCGCTGCAAAACTTCGAGGTGATCAAATCACTATTACTTCCAGGATAAAGATTTATTGTTCCAATTCCAGGCTGATATCAAAGAGCTATGGTTCGTGGAAGAACTGGATATATTAGCTCTGGCACTCCAAGGCCGAGTTAAAACCCATAAGTTTTCCCTGGGAGGATAAACGTATATACCATTCTGGCGAATATGCCGTTGGCCCTACTAGCCGTTGAGTTTTCTGACGTGCCACGTTCGCCGGTCGGCACATCTTTCCGGCGTGCCCCCAAAATTCAAAATACAAGTTTGCCCTAAACCGGCAGCGGCCGGTAGAGAAGGACGCTAGGCTAGGCGCCAGGGAAGGAAGCTTTCTTGGATGCGCCACACCCGCAGCTAGGTTTTTCTAGGCGCCGAGCTCGCGATCGCTGCGCCGCCCTCGCGATTTGATGCATCGCTGCTGAAATATCGCGGAATGGAGAGCGGCGGAGTCTCGGAGGTCGAGAAAGATGCATTGCAGGCTGTCCAGGTCGCCGTTCACATCAGGCCTCTCATCGCGCAGGAACGGATTCAGGGATGCAAGGAATGCGTTTCGGTTGTTCCCGGCGAGCCGCAGGTAAAATCTCCCAAAATTCCTCTCGCGAGCCGGCGAGATTTCGCTTCTCCCGGTACATCGATCGGGGTATGGATTTAGGTCAATTACGAGCTTCTGTGGTGCGCAGGTGCAGCTGGGATCGCATTCTTTCACGTTTGATCATGTCTATGGAGGCGGTGGCTCCTCGCCATCGTCTATTTTCGATCAATGCGTGAGACCTCTTGTCGAGGGATTGTTCCAAGGCTACAATGCCACTGTCCTTGCTTATGGACAGGTAAGAAGTTTGTTTTCTTCTCGTTTGGCACTCACTTGGAGCTCAATTTATAGACAGGATCCGGCAAAACTTACACTATGGGTACTGGTTACACAGTTGGCGGTAGCAGTGAGGGTGTTATCCCACAAGTCATGAATACACTCTTTAGCAAAATTAATGCTTTGAAGCACAAGGCAGACTTCCAAGTCCGAGTCTCTTTTATTGAGGTAACCGGGCAAGCTCTTATGGTTGGTTCATTTCTTCTTTCTTTTCTGAAGTTTGGCAGTGAATGCAGATCTTGAAGGAGGAGGTCCATGATCTTCTTGACCCAAATCCACCTTCTACAATGAAAACTGATACTGCCAACGGCGGACTCTTGAGAGTTGTGCCTGGAAAGCCTCCCATCCAGATTCGGGAGACCGGGAGCGGAGGGATCATGCTTGCCGGCGTAACAGAAACTGAAGTACGTACTTTACCAGAGATGGCCGCCTGCTTAGAACAGGGATCTCTTTGCCGAGCAACAGGAAGCACCAACATGAATGCGCAATCAAGGTGCGTTTGACAAGAATTTTCGTCTTTCTGTGGTAGCTAACAAAGTTTACCGCAGTCGCTCTCACGCAATCTTTACTATCAACGTCGAACAACGTCGAAAATGGGATTCCTTTCTGAATGCTGATACTTCATCATTGCCGGAGGACACCGGAGAAGACTTTCTCTGTGCGAAGCTCCACTTAGTAGATCTTGCTGGTTCTGAGCGCGCCAAGAGAACTAAAGCAGATGGGAATCGTTTCAAAGAAGGTGAGTGCCTGTTATTCTTGTTACCACTAAAATAGCACCAATGCAGGTGTACATATCAATCGAGGACTTTTGGCTCTTGGAAATGTGATTAGTGCTTTAGGAGATGACAAAAAACGCAAAGAAGGTGGCCACGTACCTTACAGGGATAGCAAATTGACACGCCTTTTGCAGGTAAGCCTTAGTGATGGCTGAGTTTATGGTTGTTTATTATTTCGCATGCAGGATTCTTTAGGTGGTAATAGTCGCACAACAATGATTGGTAAGTCTGCTCAATACAGTTTTCAGAGACTTCACATCCATTCTGTATTAGCTTGTGTTAGTCCTGCGGATTCGAATGCCGAAGAAACACTGAATACCCTGAAATATGCTAATCGGGCACGCAACATTCAAAACAAACCAATGGTAGGCTGGCTAATCAATTCTTCTGCCCGTTGTTGATGGTATGCTTTGGTGTGCAGGTGAACCGTGATCCAGTAGTTGCGGAGATGCAGAGAATGAGACAGCAGTTGGAAGTACTACAAGCGGAACTTTTATGCGCTCAAGCAGCAACCATACCTGAGGAAATTCAGGTAATTATTTTCCTGTAATTCGTTAATTCTGATCCTCGGAAGCACAGATTCTTAAGCAGAAAGTGACATGGCTAGAAAGCAACAACCTGGAACTACGGCGTGAACTGCAACAGTCGGCTGAAAGCTGTGCTTTACTTTCCGAGCAAGTCGTTAGTGCACAGGTATTTTACTGTTGGACTGAGTGAACTTTCTGAATCTAAACTTAAGTGTAGGTGGAACGCGATAAGTTGCAGCTCAAGTTTCAAAAATTACGTAGTGGCGTGGCGCTTTCGGAGTGTGGAGAGAACGATATCGAGGTTTGTGTCTGTAAAGTCTCAGTTTGTTTTCTAACCGATTGTTCTCAGCAGAGCGAAGATCTGGTCAAAAACTACTTGAAAAGGATTCAAGAACTGGAGCTGGAATTGCTAAGTGTGAAGTCTAGCAACGCTACCGATCTTTCGCCTGAAGGAGAAGGGGACGTGGAAGAAGAAGGAGAAGGAGAAGGAGACGTGGACGTGGATGTAGTTGCTGCAAAAGAGCTGGAGCATACTATGCGGCAGGACTGTCTGGACAAGGAACTCGAAGAGCTTGATAAACGACTTGAACTGAAAGAGGTACCGGATGTGAGAATTAAATTGGTTAACATGTTTTTTTTGTCATTCAGGCGGAAATGAAAGCGTTTGCAAGACCCGACAACGTTGTCTTGAAGCAACATTTTGAGAAAAAGCTTATTGAGCTTGAAGACGAGAAAAAAACTCTCCAGGTAATGCTTTGCAGAAGTATAGCATGCCGTAACTACTTTGATCTTCTGCAGAAAGAAAGAGATGCATTGCTTAAGGAGTTAGAGGCGCTGGCGACCAGCTCAGATGAGCACGCTCATAAAATGCAAGAGACGTATGTCCAGAAGCTCAAGGACCTCGAGCGTCAGGTGAAGAGAGTTCATAAAGTTTACACTGCCAATGAAAGTTTGGTACTACAGATTGCGGAGCTCAAGAAAAAACAAGAGAATCAAGCACAGCTGCTGCGTCAGAAACAACGAAGCGACGAAGCAGCAAAGCGTTTGCAGGAAGACATTTTGCGTATGAAGCAGCAAAAGGCGAGTCATTTTATTGTTTCCTTAGTGATTTGACTCATCTTCTTTGACAGGTGCAACTACAAAACAAAATAAAGCAAGAGTCAGAGCAGTTTCGTGCATGGAAAAACGCCAGGGAAAAGGAGGTCTTGCAGCTCCGGAAAGAGGGAAGGCGAAATGTTTACGAAATGCACAAACTTCAGGCTCTACACCAGCGTCAGAAATTGGTATTTTGTATGATATCCTTTCCTGAATTTCTGATTTTATTTTTTCCAGGTTCTTCAAAGAAAAACAGAGGAAGCTGCAGTTGCAACACGCCGCCTGAAAGACATGCTAGAGGCTTCGGAAGCTTCTTATGCGAGGCAAGTGCTTGTGACGTTACTACCATAACACCTTCGGTTTGTCTGTTGCAGAAGCCAATTGCGTATCAAAGAAATCGAAAACAGGGAGCTTAGAAAAAGAGTTATTGAGCTTTCCGAAAGCCTCAAGCAAAGTGAAGCACGCAGAATGGAGTTCGAAAGGGATAATGCTAAACAACGTCGTGAAAGAGAACAGCCTGCTGCAGTTGTTTTAGCAACAGCGTCAAAGGTACTGCTCAGTTTCATTTCTAGCATTCACTCTGTTTCCTTCTGGCAGGATGCTGAGCGAGAGATAAATGAGCTTTCTGTCGGACTAGCGCAGCTTGTACATACCGGTAGGAAGTCGTCGCATTATGGCAGTGTTGGTTTTGAAAGCATCCCTTACGATCTTCGCAAGGTGGGAGGATTGACGGTTCTTCGATTTTCCACCGGCTTAATCTTGTCGACCATGACAGGCTCCACGGGAATCCTACAAGAGCATAACTAGCGAGAGCTCCGAATGTGAAACGGACATGGAGATCGAAGAGATTGATCAGTCAGACAAAGACTGGGACGTGGACGACGAGAAGTACAAAGACGGGCTAAAGCTGGGCTCGGCAGGGTGCTGCAGCTGCAGCCAAACCTCAGGCTGCAAAACGAAGAAATGTCAATGCAGGCTGGCTGGTGGCTACTGCGGTGCTAGCTGCTCGTGCAAAGCCAGCAAGTGCGCTAACAGAGAGCATGCGGTGTCCGGGTCAGACATGGCAGGAACCTCTTCAGCTAGCAGTAGTGTACAGGACGCTGGATCAGACCGGGGATCGGAAGAGCTGGCCAAGTATGGAGCCAAGCTCCTGGACACTGCATACAAGGAGGAGCTAAGCGCGCAGATTACAGCAAGTATCGGTGGTGAAACGGTGGAAAAACCCAGCCAGCGTCGCCCACTCAGCGACATCGGCAATACAAGAGTAAGCACGCAAAAACGCTGCATACGTTCGTTTTCTAACGCAGAGGTGTCTCACAGGTCGTCATTCCGTCTCGAAAGCCTGGAAAGCAAAAGAGAAAGTCGCAGAAGATAGTGGTACAACTCGTTCCCGTGGAGTCGCAGCCTGAAGCGGTGGCTCCTCCTCCCCAGCCGCCCGCTCTTCCTCCTCTTGCTGTCGATCAAGCTCCACAAGACAGCGAAGTGGAGCAGCAGCAGCAGCAACGATATCGGCATCAACGAGAGCAGCCTCTCCAGCCGCGGACTGCGTCAGTGAGCCCGCTTAGAGCTCGCAATCGGCATCGAGCAAGAGACGATAGCGGAGGCGTGAAGAGAGTGTCGAGCGGTCCACCCAGTCCCAGGAAGAAGCACGGCGACGAGAAAGAAAACATTAGATAAGATGCGAAGCAAGAAACAAGCGGCATTGCAGCCCGAGTCTGCCAAGTGGCAGCCATGTCATCTCTTCACTCCAAATTAGTGATAAATTGGAATGTTATGAGCTAATAATTTAACAATGAGAATAATTTATCAGCTAATAATTTTAACAATATGAATTTTTATCAACATATTGAATGTTGTATCAGACCTTATAAACTTTGGCACAACACTTGATATAGTTCTTTTCAATGTGTAAATAGCCCTTCAGACAAATTATATATCATAAGAATGGGAAAATAAATTAATACTATATTATCCACTTTATATTTTATATATAAAGAAAAATAGTTAAATATTG